TATGCAGTAAACAAACTTGATTTTATTTTTGAAATACTCTGCTGTTTTTCTAGATTTTTTTCCCAATGAGGTGTAGGTGAGTTCAGGCTAATATCCGTGCCGCCTTTCTTGTTTGTTCCAAAGTCCAAACTAATGTACAATAACTCAAGAGTCAGAATCATTTTTGGTACTGATCAAACTAATATTTGATGATCTTCATACTAATTCTCAATTAAACTTTATTTCTGATGTGTCTTTTTACCGCTTACTGTAGGGCAAAACGCCCCACAACATCTCATTTTATTTCAAAGAGAACACGATACAGTATGTACATGCCCTAAGGCAAAGGAGAAATAAAATAAGTACAGAAAACTACCAGACTCACCTCAGGGTGGTAAAAAGGAAACCCACCTAACTAGCTCCTCTCTATATCTCTGCTAATTCGATGAGCTAGAAGAGAAATGTCATGAATGAAAGCATCCCTCCATCTGTTGAAGCTAGGCTTTTCATTCCTGAAGACTCTAGCACTCCTTATGATCCAGATATCCCAACATGTAGTGAACACCACCACCGTGAAGAAAGGTTTAGCAAAATTCCTTCCGGGCGCCAAAGCATTGTCCCTCATATCCACTCCCTATGGCCAATCAATTTGCAAGTAATTCCAAACTCTGCAACTGAAGTTGCACATGAAGAAAAGACGATCCCTGTCTTCCTTGGTGTGAGTTGGACTCAGAACACATGTATCAGGATCAGAGACATTCCAATGCCTTCTTGCAAGTAGATCTTGACTGTTCAATCTATCCATCACAATCATCAACGAAAAGACCTTGATCTTCATGGTACAACAACTAGCCCAAATCCAGTTGCGGACGTAATCGTGATTAGTAGTTAAGCACTGATCACGTCCTTGCTGACGACGCACGACAGTATGAAATTGACGTACAAGCTGGTCATGTGCGCCAGTTGTCAATAATTAACTTGGAACGGATCTAAGCCAGCTAGCTGCTGGAATTAGGACTGACCCTTGCAACAACAAAGCGCTATTGACTGACCGATTAGAAGAACTCATTCCACGTCGGCGCCCAAAGCAAGTGTTCATACGAAATTAAGTTTTTCCTTGCAAAAATCCTGACTCGCGTCCTTGGGTCTCTTACAATACTGTTAGCTCATAGTTCATAGATGGTATATACACAAGAGAATTCCTTATTTAACATTGTCTTAAAATTTGTTGCCCTATTTAACACCGAAAAACTTTTCCTTTCTTATTTAACATAGAGTCTAAATTTTATGTCTTTTATAACACTTTCGTTCATTTTAAGCCATAACGGTGTTAAATGACACAGGACAAGACCTATTTGCCCTTCGTGTGATATTTGACCAAACTTTATATGTATGTGTGTATCCGGCCGACTCGTTTTGCGTTGGCCTTGGTCCCAACCTCGACCTCCGACCTTGATGGCGTTATAGCCGGGTGTTTTCCAGCGTACAGGCATACGAGGCTAGCTCGAATACTTTCCGAGGGTTCCGCCGAGACGTAGACGACACGTACACACCAAGAAACAAGCAGGCAGGCAGGTGGATCGATTCTAGTTGGACGCGTACTGCTAATACGTAATAGATGAAGTTAGCTAGCAGCCGATCTCTCCCTTGATCATTTCTACGTTCGCTGCCTAGCTAAAGCTAGCCATACCCGTAAAAAAAAGTAAGTTAGGGATACAATCTCGGCTACAACTGGAACACACACGATGCGATTGATGGCCACGGGACCATGTCGGTCCTATTTACATTCCTTTTTCAATCTCAACTACGGCTGTTACAAAAGGACTGGGCATATGCAAATATA